GTTTTAAGTGTTAATTTTTATTAATATGTATAGACTTTTAAGTATTAATTTCAGTTAAAATGTATAGTATAGATAAAACAATTTTAATGAACTTATTGAATAAATTTAATGTTTAAAGATATTAATATTTGTGTTCTAATTCTCTGCAAGGAAATATCAAAAGTTTTAAATTTGAATTTAAGTGTACTTGAATTTTTCATATCTTTTGCAGTTGAATTTTTCATAATATCTTTTGCAGTTGAATTTTTCATATCTTTTGCAGTTAAATATTTCTTTAAATTTAATACAGGATGTTCTCTATAGTTTTATGAAAGAACGTTATTTAATGAAGGATGTTGTCTACATGGCTGCCCATGACTTCCTTTCAGCCATCACACAACATGCAGGATCAAATAAAGTTTGTGAAATCTAAGAATTTAAATTTTATTACAGGGAGTAAATTAGTGTCAGTGTACAATAGGGACTAATCAATTTTTAAAAAGGAAATACTGTTTTATATCAAGGTTTTAAATAAAAATCTTTTCATTTTATTATTTAAATGTATATATGCATTGTATTTATTTGATTTATTGGTGTTATTTCAGCTAATTCAACTGTTAGGTCATGTGCTAGTTGGCAATCTGGATGCAGCTTGTCTACGGTATATCCTTCTCATATGTGACATCATCTCATCGGTTGACTGGAAAGAGGTTGAAGACTTCAGGGCTTTTGCAACAGCAGTGTACCCATTTCTTAATGTTAGTTCTTTATAATTTTATTGAATTATTTTTAATTCACTTTAAATCATATCAAATACACAATTTTCAACAAAGTATAATCTTTTTTTAAATTCAGGTGAAATGTAATGTGTAATTTTTCAGGATGATGACTTTGAAAATTTACAAATGAGCTACACATCATATAGTGAGAATAAAATCTCAAGTCAGCATGTAGCATCTTTTATTATCAACATTATCCTAAAGTACAGGGAGCCTAGGTTTCATGAAGTAAGTTTTAATATGCTAATTTCATAGGAAGTTTATGTGTACCCATTTCAACAAACTATTTACACTATAAATTATTTTCATATTTCAATTCTGTAAATAAGTTAGACTGTTATAATTTTAATGTTATTACAAATGATAATTAGGAGGACAGACTGCAATCAGGTTAAGTAATATTATGTGAAAGTTGCAACCAGTGGCGTGGCGAGGGTGTTTGGCGCCCGGGGACAAGATTCGCGCCCGGGGACAAAATCAATTTTAAAGCGCCCCCTTTTCTTTTTTTCAACTGTAAAACCCATTATTTTTAACAATAATATAAGATCAAATCACATTTTGGCGCGCCTAACTAGCTTGCGCCCGGGGTCATCTGTCCTCCCCTGCCCCCCCATCGCTACGCCTCTGGTTGCAACACATTATTTTATTTTCAGCTTTAATTTAGGTAAATCTAATATAAAATTCTTGTATTAATAGCTTGAGAACCAACTTGTCCCTTATCAAAATAATGAAAATGGACACTTAACTGAAATGGAGTTCAAGGAAGCCATAGACAATATAATACCCTTATGCAATGAACGCACAAGACACAGACTGTACATGCAGGCAGAAAAGGCAGTTCAATGGGACAGGATAAGTAACTCTGTGCCTATAATGAGACTTGCACGTATCTTTTTTTGAAGTTAATTTCTTTTCTCACCATGACAAATTTTTGAGTCACCAAACACTAAAAATAAATTTATGTAGTAATGATGTTAAAATATCGAAGTGGCTATTCGTACCCGGTACCAGAAGTGAGAGGTTGGGATTAAAAAACTATTTAAAATATTATTGTTAAGTGGTGGTGGTGTGTGTGTTTGCGACAGGGGGAAAAATCAGCAAAATTTGCATGACCTCATTTATGGATGGCCCCATACGAGTCAATTCCATACTATGAGGGTTGGAGACTTTGTTTTTCTTAACAACTCCCCCTCCCCGCCCTTTTAAAAAAAGATATTGAGTAATACTAATTGTTTTCTGTCCCATATTAATTTTGTTATCTGGAGAATTTCAAAAGGCAGGATTTTATTCCCCCCCCCAACTCTTATGGAAGATAACTTCTTCCCCCTGTTAAGACGCCCCTGGTCATAAGGGCTGTTTTTTTCTACCTGTTCTGTACGAAACCATGCCCGTCAGCCCTCACGCTTGAAAATTATAACTGAAGTACCTAACTGAGCTGCAAGAGTCTGAACTATATTAAAAGTGAATTACTAGAGTCACAAGATTATAATAACAAACTTTGATAATGCCCTCTGAGAACCTTATTGTAATAAGAAATGTAATAATGTGTATGCTATTTTGCACACATTTAATACTGTCAACTGTCAATCTTTTTTTGAAAAACTTGATTCCCGGAACAATATTTATTAAAAGTCAAGATTATTTTCTGAGATCCATAATTGGTCCACATCAGTCCAATCACATTCTTATTTTTGGATAGTTATGGATTAGTTGTTTAATAATTATCCCTGTTTTCATTTTAAATAATTTTACAAGCATGCTTTAAATTTGATTGAAAACATGTTCAGGATAGATCTTTAAAGATGCACTGATTCATTAATTAAAATTTAAGCATAGATACAAATTATGGCTATGGCTGTCCCATAAAAGTTGACATGTATGATTACATCCAGGCGGAACATTTTTAAATCAAGAAAGGGCCCTCAAGTCAATTTAGTTTAATTTAAACTAGAAAATTTAGACAAATGTTTTCTTAACACATCAAGAAATCACTGGATATCTTGCTCTCCAGCAAATTGCAGCTGTTGTCAAAGAAAATGTTTCCTTGAGAGTAAGAGAATGGAGGCAACATGCAGCTTATACAGAGTCAGGTATCCTGTCTGTAATATAGTTCTTAAAATTCTACTGACTGGTATTGTTCAGAAATTAATACATTTATTAAATCTTACTCTTACCTTCACAATTTTTTATAATATGCATTGCTTAATTTTAGCCACTAGAATTCTGAATTATTTATGTTTATTGAATCTTAGATATTTATCACTTTACAAAATGGTGCTTTTATTTTATTAGTATCAGCAAACCAATATACTGAAAGCAACAAAGAGCTTTTAACTATGGGACATGTTAAACAGATGGCAGCCAGCCTCAACAGGCAAGAGTTTTTATTTTAAACCCTACAAAAACATGTATATATAATATGTGTGTGTATGTAGGCCTATTATATAAATTTTCACATCATTATATTGACCTATGAGAAGTGACATAGCTATAATTAGAAAATACTGAAAAGTATTAATGTGTATTTATAAAATTTCAAGATATTTCAAATTTTGCTAGTGTCCAAAAAATCCTTACTCATATAAGTGATAAAAATATAACTAAAAAAGTAGAAATAGTGAAAATAAAATTGTGATCACAGAATATCTCTTATTAAGTGTGAATGTATGTTAAGTTGTTAGTTTATCTTTACTAATTATTTCGTATTTAAATAAAATAAATGGGAGTAAATAAAAAACTTTGATCACTATTTAATTATTAGTACATTATGGACTTCTTCAGGCTCGACACTAGACAAAGACAATCTTGACATTTCTGCTAAACTGGCCCTACTATCCCACACATTTTCCTGAAAATCTGTAAAGGGAAAAGCAAAGTCCTTTTGGATCAAGATAACATTTCCCCCGGTAGCAATGGTAGAAGGATTAGAAAAGGTCAAAAGTCTACCTTGATAGAAAGAAAAGAAGGGAAAGAAGCTGGTTTAAACAAGCTGTAAAATGTATTACTTTCTAAAGAAAAAAAAAAGAATGCGTATGTCACATTTTAAAAAAAACTCTTTTACTACATGAGGCCGAGACCCGGAGAACAACTATAAGAAAAAGGAAAAAACAGGCATTTGTTAACTTTTATTTTAGAAAAATCATTAGGATTTGATGGGTTAACATCTAAACACATGAAAAACAATAGGAGTGACTTTAACCTGGTGGGGAAGAAATACTCTAAAATGGATTGAGATGTTCAGTCCTGTTTACCCTCAAACTCATAAAATCGTACAATATCGCCTCACAATTGTACAATACAGTATTTTAATAGTTAATAAATAAAAATACATTAGATATAATTTATACAATATCTATTCGTATACAATAACAGGCACCAAAATGGTCTTTAAAAAGGGACGTATCAGTGAATTTAACTACTAAATCCCATTTACATCACAAAGACAAAAAGACAAGGGGCGCAATAAATTGTCCTTTTACTGATCCACGCGGGGGGGGGGGGGGGGGGGTTGATGTTGGCGTACATTTTTCTATATGGATTGCTGCAGCTTCCTCACAGGGGCATGGCAAAATATTTCCAAATGTTATTATTTTATTTTCAATTTTAATCCAATGTGACAACTTTTGGTCATGGTGCTAACAGTTAACCACTTGAGTAACTACTGTTTGCAGTTACAGATGGCACAGAGTGACCTGCATACACATTATATTTATTTTTATCCCACACTTTATTTTTTTGTTGTATTCGCTATTTCGAATTATACCGATAAGATTTCACACAGGAAGCGCGGTGAACACCTAATATGGCATAGGCGCCGTGAAACTTTTGATCTAATAGTTTTTCTCGGTCCATTCACTGCCAGATCTTTATTAGAGAGGGCTAAAATTTCCACAAATGAAACTTTATTTAATTTTTTTTTAATCGGAAAAAATTACTTTGTAGTTTAGGTGGGTCTTGGCGTACAATCGTAAAAGACATCTAAAAATTGTACACTGTACGCCAAAAATCGTAAAAGTAAACAGGTCTGGATATTATTTGCCATATATTGAGAGCCTAGAACATAAAGACCAAATGCTTACCAAACTATTTCTGGAAACATGACATTACGGTTAGCACAAAAAAGATGAGATGAAACTGGGGACAATTGGAGAAACTTGACCATAATTGGGACACCAAGGAAATCAATTGTTCGTGGCCCGTGTCGTAAGCATTATCACAGGCAAACATTAAATGACAAATAGTGGGGTGACTTTATTGGTGAAATATATGCAGGCTTGATTTTGAATTTCAAATTTTTAACATTTGGAATAGTTGAACAAGATAAGTTTGGGCTTGAAATAGTTGAAATGAAAAGACAAGACAAAGTGACGTTTCGGCTAGATGTTTTCTTTAACTTACAATAGGAAAAAGACAAACTGACATTTTGGCTAGATGTCTTCTTTAACATGCAATAGAAAACAAGACAAACTGACATTTTGGCTAGATGTCTTCTTTAACATACAATAGAAAACAAGACAAACTGACGTTTTGGCTAGATGTCTTTTTTAACATACAAAGAAAACAAGACAAACTGAAGTTTTGGCTAGATGTCTTCTTTAACATACAATAGAAAACAAGACAAACTGACGTTTTGGCTAGATGTCTTCTTTAACATACAATAGAAAACAAGACAAACTGTCGTTTTGGCTAGATGTCTTCTTTAACATACAATAGAAAACAAGACACACTGACGTTTTGGCTAGACGTCTTCTTTAACATACAATAGAAAACAAGAATCAACAGATACTTTAAATTAAGAATAGAAATAAAAACTATTATGTTTTTTAAAAAAATCTGTATTTTTAAATGTTCCACAAGTTATTTATATTATAAAGGAATTCTGACTATTTTCTTTCCTTAGACAATTGAGACATAGCAAAGAAAACAGATCTTCCTTTCCTAATGAGGAGAATCAAGATTCTTAACAATTGAGCAAGAATATTTTGGTGTAGGCCTTTTATTGCTACAAGTGGCAAAGAAACACTTAACGCAAGATTCAACAACTCCAAAGGCCAATACTTGTTTTTGTATGTCCTGACCTGATATTTAACTTGAGTCATCACTAAACTGATAGAAATTAAATTGTGTGGAATTTTTTATGTGATAAAATATTGTTTATGTGATAAAATATTGTTTATAAAGATATTTAAATTGCAGTAAATTAAGCTGAATTCTTTTGTATATTATTTTCAGCTCTCATGTACATAAAATTAACTAACAGGAACTTCAAAAGGCTTTGAACTATTTGATTTAACAAAACTGTTGAATATTTTGGAATATATATATTAATATATATAAGTTAAATAATATTCAAATTAATTATATTTTAGTTTTTATCTGTAATTTTAAATCTTGCTGAAATAATTGTAATTTGCTTTAATTTTTACTGCAACGTTTTTATTATAATTTAAGTTTAACAAAGGTAATTCCAAGAATAAATAAAATTTTTAAATTCATGTTGTATTTTCTTATTTTTAAGTTGAAATTATACAGAAACACACCATACAAAATCAAATGATGTAACTGTAACTAAAATACTATTTGAAATTAGAAAACAAACCTTTTAAAGTTTCTTCTCTGAATTAAAAAAAAAAAAATTACATCTTTCACCAAATGTTGACTCATGCTTATTGGTATCTACCACGATTTATCATTTGACAAAATTAAGTGGACATCATTTGAAAAAATTAAGTGGATGAAGCCAGATGCAAAACTCTTGGCTTCTCTAGTTATTTTTAAATCTGCAAATGCAATAAGTATGTTGTTAGCTAATTGCCACAGCTTCTACTTTATTTTGGAAATATTTGTAAATCCCAATGTTTTCCTTAAAGGAGCTGAATTTTTTTCCTGCCCTGTAACGATAAAACAACAGCAATAGAAATATAACTTTACCTGCAGAATAGAAAATGCTGTAACACTTTAAATTGTGTGGTATCAAATTAATTAAAAAATTATTTTTTTTAAAACACACACAAAAAAAGAAACGTCTCATACTTTTATTTATTCATGACCAAACTCCAAATGAAAATGTTTTTAAAATGAAAAAAAAAAAAAAGACAAGTGAAAGAGATGTCAAGACAAGATCAATGTATCCCTGAACACTATCTCTCATTGAGATTTCCTAACATTGATTGATGCTGACTTTTTTTCAATAACTGCCCACCATTATTGATTGAATTCAACCATACTATGGTAAATGAGAGATTTCTCAAGTGTAACCTCCTTGAGAATCACTGGTGACATAAATTAAAATCACTGGAATTTTACTAAATCAATAAACTATCAAGTTAAATCTTGTTTTTCAATTAAAAATGCTATTTTTAGGAGAAACTGCATGCCTAAAAATCTACTGAAGAAAATATTTATTTTAATCACTTTTAATGGACTTGGTAGAAATAAGATACAATAATTGACAATTAATGAAAAATGAACAACTGTATCACTGTCTTTAAAAAAAAAAAAAAAAAAAAAAAGTATATCTGAATTTGTTGAGCACTGAATTTACTTGCAAGTGTTAAAGGTGTTGAAAATATGTATACCACTAGTGTTAATGGGACAAATATGACTAACCTGTTAAAACCATACAAGTAAAAAAAAACAAAATTTTCTTCATGAAAAATGACACACACTGAAACAAAAATTTAAATGTTCCATCAATTATAGAAATCATAACAGATTAAAACATAATAAAAATAGGTGCATAGGAATCACTTAAATGATGAAGCCCATAATGCATAACAGGACACAGTAAATTCACAGTTCACAATCATGATGGAAGAGTTAAAACAATTTTTGAATTTTCCTCATTTTAAAACAACCACTAGGTTTATTTTTACCAAAAATCTAAAAGCTATGCAAAGTTTGCTAAATAAAAAAAGTATAGATTAAATGCCAGCAAAGATTATGCATATTCTCTCTTCACCATCACAAATGGAAAACGGTTTGAATAATCAAAGATTAGATTGCTGAGATGATAAAACGAGCTCTATCCATTTAATTTCATGAACATATCAATCCCCAAAATTGTCATGGGTTGGATTTCTAAGATGGTAAATGAAACACTAATGTTTATCTCTGCAATTCAACTGATATCACATTGGAAGCTCACAAGAAATAACTTCCTAAAAATAAAATCTGAACTTAAAACATCCTATCTGAAATTAAATAAGGTATGGACTTGTATTAACTAAATATGATCAGATCTGATTTTTGTTTCAAGGAAGTTAAGAAATTTTAAACTTTCAAATGCTGTTTATTTCACACGAATGAATACATTTCAATGAGACTAATAAACATAATTTCCCCAACAAAGATAATATAATGACCAAGACTGTTTTGAGACTCCTTTAAAAAAAAAGAAGAAACTTCCGCCTCTACATAACGTTGTGGTTTCATACTTAAATACTAAAGTGAGATAGCACCTTTTAAGTTCAGCTTAATTTTACATTTATTTAAAAAAAATCCTCCTGGCTAGTTGTAATACATCTTTTCTTTTCTTTTCTACTCTGAGTAATCTCAGTGAATCAGAAAGAAAAAAAAACTTTGCATACAAAAGATACAGTAACACTATTTTTTTCCTCATAAAGAAATACAATTGTGTACATTATAGGTAAAGATATGAGGCTATCAAAAGTACAAAGTTATATCTATTATGAAATAAAAAAGAAAGAAACAGAAACTGAAAAACAATATGTGTGTAATTGTTGCATAAGAAATTTCTTTTTTATTTTGTTAAAAATAATTAATTCCAAAAACGGATGTCTTTATAAATGTGTGTCAACAATACCTAACTTATACTATATATTTAAAAAACAGAAAGAGTAACCCCATTCTAAGATAATGTGCTTTTTGAAATGGCTCTAGGGTTTAAATTTTTTAAATATAGATATATATACCATATAATCATCATTTAAAATATTTTTGCAAAAGCACTAAAAATGTTTTAAATGGAAATATTTTACCAAGTGAAGATATTAGTTTTTTTTCCATTTAAATGGCAATTTCCTAAAAAAAACTGTAAGCAATTATTTTCAATAAAATATTTAAAAACAATTGCTTAAAAAAAAAAATCACTATTAGTCTAACAAAATACAATGTAAATAACTGAAGTAACAAAATCAGTACTTCTAAGTGTAAACAAAACACATTACATTATCAGCCTGAATCACCAGGCAAGTATTTTATTAATTGTTGACACCCTCTAGGCTTACATTAACTGTCACACAATTTCTATCACAAATGTCCTTCAAATATAACTCAGGGCAAAAACAAACATAATGCTTTCAAAATAAGAAAATGCCCCTTTGAGCCTCAATTTCAAACCAATAGCTTATCAATCAGGCTGCATATAAGTTTCTTTAAAGAGCTCAAGAGTCTTTCACCTTTCCTCCGTCACCTTCTGACACAAAGCGTTTGCGACCTCTGAAAGTAAGAAGTATAGTTTTTGTTTTTCACAATGCCAAAAAAAAACACATTTTATTTAATTAAGAGCCGAGATTTTTTAAAAAGCCTTATCATCCCACTTGTGGATGTTTTTTTATGCTGACTGTCCATAAACTGTAAGAAATTAATTAGGTATAATTTTTTTACATGTTTTTATTAAAATTCTGAATATGTACCACAATAAAAGAAAAAAATCAACTGCCATATTTAAATATTTTTTTACTTCAATACAAGATCAGATGTTTCAAGAAACTTACGTAATTTGTTAAAGTATCTATAATGGAAGTTTGTATAACTTTAATACACAAGTTTATCATAGCTAAGTGATTATGATTAAGCAAGTAAGAGTGAAGTAACATTCAGTTTGCTCTTCAGTCTTGGTGAATTAAGTTAACAGCAAATAATTGGGATTTAATATACCTATTACTGTTAAAATGATCATCATCATTTAATAGGCTGCTGAGGAAGTAAGTAATTCTTAAATTTATAAAGGACTATCTATGGTTTTAAAATTTTCATTTAAAATTATGAATATTGAAAAAAATATAAATTCATAATATATTAACCTTTGAGGAACATCATTAAGAATATCAATGCTAATAACACCATCTCTATGACAAACGGTTGCAAATTTGTCAAGCAAAGTATATGCATTAGGCACATCCAAGCAGATATCAGCCATGTTCTCAAAGATACGTCGGAAACCCTGGAAAATAAAACCAAATTGTTATATCATCTTGTCTGTAATTTGAGGATAGGGTTCTACTTAATCAAAGGTGAATCTTATTGCACTAAACACACTAACCTGGTTGAGCTGATCAGGGGTGATGATAACAGTGTCAGCAAGTGATTTAAGAAGTTTAACCATCATTTCTGCAGCTCGATCAGTGGACTTCTCTAGCACAATGTTGACTGCCTGTGTAGTAGAAATAATTATTCATCAGCCAAATATATTTAACACAAGCATAAACTAACTTCTTTCCTCACTTTTCCACAAAGCCAACGAATTTATGTCAGATGTTGGAAGTATTTGCATCCAACATCACCCTCCTATCTAATGTTGCTAAAGAGGGGCAGCTTTTAATTATATGTTATCGACCTTGACATCTACACAGTAAATAAAATCACTATCTATCTCAAAACTACACTACGAATCATAGATTTACAAAGCTATAAACAAAATGTTGAAAAAAAAATAAAAATGCAACTATAATGAGGGTTTTTCAGTGAATGGTTATTTTAATTATAAATCATTTTATTTTAGACCAAATCATTCCATGTGAAAAGACTTTTAGTTTTGAATCTGTAAGTCAGATCACTTTAGCTGACAGGACAGGTTGCTTACCCCTGCTTTAGACCATTAAATTATTTAACATTTTTAATTAACAAATAACTATCAACATACAACAAAATTATGTGTATTGACTCACTTCATACACCAGCTCATGGTAAAAATGAGGAACATCCAACTCCGTTAAACACCTTGCAGCTTCATTAATGTCCCCTGATGACAAGTACTCTTTCAAAAGCATAACCATCTAAGAGACAAATGTTAAAAAGGATCTTATTTTGCAATGAAGGAAATATCTTGATTCAAAATAACAAAGTACAAAAAAATATTTACTACTTTTCATCATAGTTTGCAAAATGTTTTGAACTGACGTTACCTGTTTAACAAGATATTTCACAGGCCTAATACCACCACCAGTACCCCAAATGTTATCAAGTCTGACAATGCCGTGCTTTTGTGTAAGCAAAGTATCCGCTTTCAACAGTGCTTCTCTATGATAGAAAAAGAAATTTATAGAACCTGTTTACTGCAAAGTAAATGATAAGCAATAAAAGAGCTCATTTTTTGTCTTTTATTCTATAAGATTTTTAAAAAAATGTTTGCATCAGTACAATAATAATTTATAATTACACAATTATGTAGTAAAATTGTATAAATGAATTCTATTTAATAGATAAGCCTTAATTTTTATTAACATTTATAAATTAGTTGTTTTTTTTGTGTGGAAAGCTGAAAAAGAAAACAATAAGTCAAAAAAGAAGCTACCATTGAGTAGCCTTTCTACAATAAAATCATTTATCCCATATTAGTGCAGTTTGAAACAATTTCATTGATACATAAGTGTAAATTTCAATTATACTTATTTATTTATTTTAGGAGCTCAGAAACATATTTACCAATAAAAAAATAATTGAAATGCTTATTAGTGCATGTTTTATTTTTATTTTTTAAAAGGTTAAGCCTAAATTTAACTCCACAGCTACAAAAAATCTGCTCAGGAGCAGGAGCTACTCTGTACTGTGATGAGACGCAACTCACAGAAGTAAGTGATTATCAATACTAAAATATTAATACACTTTATTTCAATAATCTAGACAAAATAGGGAGTCTGAAAGCCAACTCACTGGAAATTTTAAAAAATAAAAATTTTATGCAAATAGTCAATAAACATAATAAAAGAGAATTACTGGTAATAGAAAACACACACACGCTCACACACCATGCACCCAATACAAAAGATTAACATATAAGTTGCATTTTTAGTCAGCTATATAAACATCAATTTAAGTAAAATTGCAAGCACTCTCTAAATATCTTAAAATACAAAGTTTTCTGGATCAATCTTACATCAGTTATCCGTTTTCATAGATAACAGTTGCAGAAAAATAAATTCCTCAATAAAAGAATAAACAACATCATTTTACCTTAATAAAAATATACATTAGTTTAATTTATACTGAAAACTTCGTATAAAAATATCTACTTACTGACAACTTTTACAATCTAATTTTCCTTTGTGTGACTGGATATATTTAGGAGGCAAACAATCATCAGCAACAGCTCTGGCCAAAAACTTTCCAACAACCTACAAGTTAGTAAAGTGTACTAAATACATTTAAATGAATATAAATGATTGATCACATTTTTTTAAAAGGATTCCTCACCTAAAATACTGTAACAAAGTTCAGCTGATAATTTTACTTACATTAAGGGAATTCACAATTAAACCATTGAATGAGTAAGGCTGTCTCTTCAACCTAATTCAGGCGACAAAGATTTCCCCCCAAGAAAATAAATAATGTACCAACTAAATGAACACTTTTTTTTTATACATATTCTCTATGTTTTAACAATCTCTCTTAAAACACTAAAGATAAATGAGAAGTGACAAGACTTACCTCTGGAGCATTTGGGGCATCTAACACAAGATCTGAAAGTTTTTCTAGGATTTCATCAAATCCGCTAATAATGTGATCATGCTGAAGTACCCTGCCATACAGATCTGAAAGCAACACTGATGTCATCTCACATTGGGCTGGTTTGTGATCAACAGCTTTGCTAATCAAAAACTCCACCAGCTTAGGTTTCTTTGATCCAAGATTCAGATCTGCCAATGAACTCTGAAAAAGACATTTTAAATGTAGAAGAACCAAAATGATTGTAAAAATCAATGTCATCCTTAAAATATTGCAGATTTAAACTCACAAAATAGCTAAATCAACAGAGAAAACTACATTTAAAACAACTTAAAACTGATTTCATCTTCTGATACATTGTGAAACTATGTGATAATCAGCTGAGTTTGTTAGCACTACTCAGAAAGTATATAATAAGTAACATAGACATGAGCTCATGAATGAATGGTGTATGCTAAATATGAAAATGTTTAACATTAAAAGCTAATGAGCAATTTCAGAGTAACATTGAGCAAGAATAAAACAATTGTCTCTGGGGTTAAATAATGAGCTGGCCAAAATATTTTTAACTGGTTGAATTAATTAACATAAGAATACATGTAACACGTTTAAATTGGAATAGAAACTAAACTAATGCCAATAAAGGTTTTAAAAAAACATTACTGAGACAAAAATATGTGTTTGCATGTTTGCTTCAAAAACTTTTATAAAGAAAATAATCAAAAAATTACAATTACTTTTTTAAAACACAAGCATCAGGGATGTTCTAGATAAAATAACAGTTATTCATTTTTATTATCCTACAAAAGGATAGAATTATTAGCACCTGTGAACAAATGTATGTGTTTTTAAGAAGTTATAATGTGCACACCATATTCTTAAACTCTGTCCAATTTCTCTTGTTATCCACTTTGCCATACAACTGCTACTAGGGTTTGTCTTTCCTCTACATAAAACTAGTATTTACTATGTAAAACACTAAAAAAAAATAATACATACCATAAATTCAGTTGTGTTATTACTTTCATAATACTCCAAAATAGCAGGTTCTAAGACTTTTTCCAATTCCTCTAATGAAACCTCAGGATCGATTTCTTCAATTAAGTATTCCTCCTGAAATGAATTTAATAAAATATATATTTAGAACCAATCTATTTTTCAATTTTTAAAACAAACAGTAAAAAAATTATCTCCCATTAGTACAAATAATATATAAGAGCATTATGAAAACTCCGATATTAATCAGGATGAGCTTAAGTTAGTTTAAATTTCAATAAGTGTCTAATAAATATATTTTTAATCATACCCCACTTTCTGAATCATAGTTTGGATCGTGTGAATCTTGACAGTGTCCATCTTCATTGGCTTCTTCACCAGGCTTTCCCCAAACACCTTTACCTCCAGCACCACCTTTAAATAAGATTTAAAAATAAATAATGAACTTATAATAAAAGTTTAAATAATGACCAAGATTCAGGAGATTTCTTATTTATAAATAGGTTTTCATCGTACATTGGACCTACTGAATATTTGGTTTGATAGCTATAAATAAATTGTGCAAGTGCATTCAAGGGATCAAGTTTATATAATAGCTTAGTTGTTCTTGGATAAATAAATAACAATGTTTTATGGTTACAGCAAAATAATATCATTTTCACAATATTTGTAAAAAAAAATACATATTTTCAGAACAACAACTAAGATTTTCTTATAATTGTTAAAGTTTCTAGCATTTAAAATAAGCTATAAGGGGGATGTGTATGTTTTAAATAGCAATTTACTTATGTACAGCTTAAATTGTTAAGCTAATTGCATTCATTAATATCATTGCAGAAAATTGTATGAAAAGTGAATTTCCCAATGAAGATCACATCCTTAAAAAAGGGTGACACGGATTAAATGGCAAATTATGCACAATAAGCATTATCTGCCAAGTTGCAGATTAATGGGTATCTTCTCTTCTTTTCAACAGATTGGTCAGTCCTTTTCATATTAACTGAACTGTTTAACCCTCAAAATCTAAAAATCAAACAATATCATCACAGAATTGTTCAATACCTTATATTTATAGTAAAAAATAAACATACAGTATATATAATGTATACACCTCAAAATTGTACACTGTACGCCAAATTCGTAAGACTAAACAGGTCTTTATTAATAATTTTATCAGCCTTTTTCTAACAGAAAAGGGTATTCAGTTGATAGATGTAAATGTCTATGGTATTGATAACATTTTGGAGGTTTGTAAATGATTTGACTAAATCTATTCCACAACAAGAGATGCTTTAATCTCATGGTGTTGCATGTTTCTTTTCTTTCCATTTGATAGATTTTACAAAATGCTTTTTCTGTGATGTTTGTGTTCACACAGACACCATGTCTATAAACATTTTTTTTAAATATGTGCTGTGACAAAATCTAAATCGTTTGATAAGAAAAAAACGACTTTGTTGTTTTTTTTTCTCCTTTTAAGTTATGTAAGCATGGCTCAAGCAGCACTAGAGTAAAAAAGTATTTATGTGAAAAATTATTTTTGTAAGTATTTAAATAAATTGAACCTCATGCAATGAGTTAAGAATGTGCAACGATGCTAATAGTTAAGTATATATTTAAAAAGTGCACATGATAAGGCAACTTTGACATGGCTGTAACTAGGTAACTGCACGTACAGCATGGACAGATGGGAAGCAGGGCAACAGCATATTGCTGCCTTTCTTGTAGGAAGAAAAGGGGCATAGATTTAAACACATTTTACCACAGAGTTTCTGTAGTCAATAATTTAAATAAATAAATAATATTACTAAAAATCTGCAGACTAAGGATGAATGTGTTTACAACTCCGATTTATAAATGGGCTCCTATTCCACCATGAGTCATTGCATTGTCACAAGAACATCATCAGCATTTTATGTACTACCCAATATATGCTCAATACTAGCAATTTATGGCAGCGTCACAGGTCAGTTCCACATAACTTAACTGACAAGACTATCATTTTTAGTATGGAGATCGGATCGGCTTACAATTTCCTGTTCCACAAGCAAGCGTCAAATGCTCATGAACCACTGTTTCTTAACCCAGTCAAAAGCATATAAACCACTAAATCTTTTTCCCTATAACCCAATAGTAGCTATATAGTTTTTAAAGATATTTTAATATAATTGAAATTGTTATTTTAAAATTCATTCAATGCATCTAATATAGTGAGTAGTGGGGTTGTCCAGACTACAACCTTAAAAAATGACTTGTAACTCCTTTCACTCATTCATAAATAATTGTTTGTGTCTAAACTTCAGTGTATTTTAAAAATAATAACCCTTTCTACCATCTACTGACTGATTTCACTGTAAATAACAACCATCAGCTCACTCAATGTTGTCGTGAATCAATTTATATTTATACCATCAAAATCACATAGTACATTAAAGCAGTCATAGAGTTTAAATATGATATAGAAATAAAGATTGCCAACCTTCATAGTTCTTAGACTGATATTACTTTAATCAGATTTTTTATTTTCGTACGTAATAAGAATTAAAATAAAATATGATATACTAAATATAGATATAATAATTTTCGCATTCATTATAATAACTAATGAGTCGATTAAAAATCACTAGACCCAGAAGCAATTTAAAAGTTTGTTCATGTGCAGGTACAATATAAAAATTTTGACGGAGGTGATTAAAACCTTTATAAAAAAATTGGTAAAAGTGTAGTCTAGCATATTTAATATTTCAGTTTATTGTGAGATTGTAGGTATAACAGTTTATTTCCCAATTGTTACTTTTACCTCTGAATAATTGATGATGCCTATTTAAGTATTTAAGTGGTATAAATAATAATTTTAGGCATTAACAACAGTATTAGTTGGCCCTATCATTTCATAGTATATAATATTTAAAGCAAGGCATAGGCCCACTTTGGTTTACTTACTTAATTTTTAATTTATAATACTAAAAAAATGTGAATGTGTGTCTTATATTATATGACATTTATTTATAACATAAGAAGCCAGTAATAATATTACTTTTATTATTATTAGGTCTATTAATATAACAGATTATAGCTTTAAATTTAAAAATAGATAGGGCTAATCATATGATATCATAGTCATAGTCCCTATAATTATCATATTCATATGCCTGCCTGAAGCCTGAAAATTTCAGTGAAATAATGTGATTTGATTAGCTAGAATGCTCTATGTCAAGATATTAAATAGGCCTAGGCTTAATAAGTAGACCTAGTGTAGACCAATTCCAGTGTAGTCCATTAGTCCATGTAGTAGTAGTATTCACAATATGCTGCATTTCTTATGTCATGCCCATGTCTAATAAATCATGATTACTGCTACTGTTACCTCTTAACTTGTAACTACTAGTACTACAGATAGTTGAGATAGAGAACAGTTCAGATAGGCATTGGCCAGGCTGGCCTAATTTAATATTTATAGTACTGGAACTACCAATATTAATGAAGATAATAAATAAATAAATATACTTGGCTTATTAATGTTCATCCTACACAAGTTAATTATTGCTCTAAACTGCACTTTTACCAAAAAATTATTCAGCACATGGCGAAACTTTCTCTACCTTTCTTCGGGAGACCTCGGCCCCGTCCATCTCGAGATTTTCGACTATTTTTAGCAAGAGGCAATGCTTTTTTGACCTGAGCAGCTGCTCCTTCTGGGCCTATTTCTTTACCAGGACTAAGTCGCCCTAATTGTCGCCTTGCTTTCCTTATCGGTCGCGATGCCAAATCCTTAGAAGACAGCTCACCAAGTCCATCAATACCTTCGGAAGGATCCTCCTCGATGCCATTCACCATGTCCACGCCATCTTGGAGAGAATCCTGCCCAACTTCCATTTCTGCAGCCATATTTTGCAGACTAAACGAATAGTTCCAACAAATCAATATTACTCAATACAATATTTATGTATAGCAATGAAAATGCACTACTAAAATGTAAATTATAATGCGCTTAAGCACTTGAGAAACTTAAACAGATTTGTCCTCACTGTGTCAACCCGATAGCGTGTTTACAATCTTCAGGACAACTTGCATGTGATTGGTTGTTTTCTGGATTTTCTCGCGTGTGTGGCGACGTAAACATGATGGTCATGTGACTTAAGTTTGCATAGGCGTAGAGTACTACACTACTACCAGTCTTATTTTATTATTTTATTTATGTATTATTTTTTTTTTAATCTAAAGAAACGTTACGTAAAATGTCAGACCTATTAATTTATAATTAAAAATATCCCTTGAACATTACCTGAAAATTGAAACATGTATCATACTATACCTGACTTTAAATATTGCTGTAAACTAATCAACATTTCAATTCAAAATTGTCTATTTGGCCTACTATTAGTATTTTTAGTTTAGGGGGCCATCCAAAAATGACGTCACGCGACTTAATAATTAAAAAAAAAGGGGGTGGGGGTCAGATCTTTGTGACGATTGTGGCGAGGGATGGGGGGGGGCCCCTCAAGCAATGTGACGTCACATGAAAAGCTGAATATTTTAGTACATAATTATAACTGCATTTAATAACCCTAAATTACAGACATTTTTAACATTATTCTTGTATATTTTATACAACGATTATAACTTTTTTAAATTTTTAAACTGCTATCACTGATAGAATCAGTACAGGTAACCTCCGCGGTCCGAAAAATGGCCTCAGATCAAGTTACAGGACGCCAAGGAGGAGGAGAATCGACATGTAGTCACAATGACAGTCGTGAGGATTTATGGCTAAATGTTGACACGGGAGACATAGAATTAGGACTAGGAGGCCTACCGTATGAAGTGGGATGGAACAAAAAAAGGTGGACCGCGGGGGGATGGGGGTTTATCTTAGTAAATGCTCAAGGGCAGGGATTCTTAAACTTTTTTTGCAGCGCTGCAGGCCCACTCAGGGGGGTGTGCAGAGATTTGTGACGTTATATTTGAGGGAGGGGGGTCTAACTTTTTGCGACGATTTGTGACGAAGTGGGGAAGGGGGTGGGTGTCAAAAATCGCCAAAATTTGCGTGACGTCATTTATAGATGGCCCCTTAGGCCTATTTTTTAAAAAAATTAGGTCAAATTTGATTTAGTTTAAGCCTTACCCTTACACTATCTCCTAAATAAATGCCAAAACTCAGGCTGGCTACACTTAAATAAGACGAATATAACTTTATAATAACCGTGATTATGTTAATTATTTAATCTGATTAAAAATTGTAATGTCATTAAAATAATAATACTTTTTAATTGCATTAAGTGGCCTATATGCATATGTCATTATGTCAATGTGTGCATCGCTAATAAATAAATAGTAATAAATACACATGAAGGTAAAAGCGATATTGCTTCCACACAGCGTTTCTTTAAATTTGATTAGGAAAAAAGGAGGTTGGGGGGGGGGGGGAAATTCAGGCATTTGCGCTTGGGGGGGGGGAGCAACACCAAAACTAGCCATTATGGTGCCCAGGGCTAGCTCTGACTCCAGTGCATTCATTCCGTTTGTGGCACGCCCTAGCGTATATGCCTTTTGGCCCCAGTATGTTTCGCCCCGGTGCTGTCACTTTAATCAGTGGTGGGGCAAGCAGAAATTGATGGCGCCGTAGACTCCCGTGGGGGTGGGGGTTCTGGGGTATTATAACAAGCCCCCGTTTACCAAAAATAAGAATTTCAGAATTTTGACAAGCTTCATTTAGTTTTTGTGTCTTATTAAAATATCCGACAGAGATTTTATATAGCTTCGTCTGTAATAGATCAGTAACAATTAGCTTTTGACAGTATCAGGTTAAAGTTTTAAAGTTGATGCTATAATCTTTGGTTGATGCTATAATCTTTGGTTGTTGCTCTCAGTGCCGGATCAGCTTGAAGGCAAACGAGGCACGTGTAGGGACCTCGCGCCATTTAGTGGCTCCGCGGCAAAGGCTCCACATAGTTTGAATAGATCTGATGACGAACATAGGTGCACTGAGGTCACGATTTAAAAGACATCTCGTTTACATATCCTTACGTAACAATCTAACGAAGAGGGGGTGGTAGAAGTAAGGAGGGGTATTATCAAATGGTGGCCATAAAACGACTTTTGTCGTGTGATGACGGCATGAACGAGAGTCAGGGTCATGCAGAGGCCGAGGCAACCAAGTAAATAACTCGGGGTCCTACTCTCAAAGCCCCCCCCCCCCTTTTTCCTACCCTTAAACTAACATTAAAACAATAGATACAATTTTTTTTTTAATTTTTTTTTGTCGTGTGATGACGGCATGAACGAGAGTCAGGGGCATGCAGAGGCCGAGGCAACCAAGTAAATAACTCGGGGTCCTACTCTCAAAGCCCCCCCCCCCCTTTTTCCTACCCTTAAACTAACATTAAAACAATAGATACACTTTTTTTTTAAATTTGTGGAATTGTTGGATACAATTATTTTGAAAATTCCTATTTGCTCGATGCCCGAAAATCCTCTACATAAGATAAGAGTAAATAAGTGTTACGAAAGTTACACCACATACAGAAAAACGGACTGATCATTTTTGGATTTCGACCCATGCCTTAACCAATTATATGATATGAGGATAGCGACCTGGAATGTACTTAGTCTATACAGAGCAGGAGCATTGGCCCGCCTCAGTAACGAATTGTTAAGATATAGAATCGTGGTTGCGGCCCTGCAGGAGATCAAATGGAAAGACTCAGATATCCTAAGTACTAAGAAGTATACACTATTCTTTTTGTGGATACAACACAAAGACCTTAGGAACAGTCTTTAAACCAGCGAGTGAAAGACTATGCTCCATAAGGATAAGAGGAAAATTGTGAGACCTGGATCCTTACCAGAAAAGCAGAGAACCTTCTCAATACATGGGAGAGGAAAATCCTCAGAAAAATATACGGCCCATTAATGGAAAATGATGTCTGTAGAAACCGTACAAAGCAAGGGCTATGCCAATTGTACAAAGACCCACCCATAGTCACAACAATAAAAAAAAAAAAAGACAGACTGCGCTGGGCAGGACATATTGAAAGGATGCCGGAATGTAGAGCAGCAAAAGTGATATACAGGCATAAAGCTAAGGGCAGACGACTCACCGGTCGCCCCAAGCTGAGAAGGGTCAACGATGTAGAGAAGGGTGTACACCAGTTGGGGGTTCGCGCATGGACGCAGAAAGCCAAGGATTGATCCGAATGGAAAGATGTGATGGAGCAGGCCAGGTCCCTACATGGGCTGTAGCGCCACTGATGATGATGATGCATGTTTTATCTAAAGTGTACTGAGGAGTTCTAGAAAATACCTAGGTGTTCCGTGCACACAAAAACAATGTAACGGGATACTGTACTTGTGCTAGGGGCCATCCATAGACGAAACACCCATCTGGGAGGGGGTAGTAAGAAATTTATGACTAGGTTGTGATGAGATTTATACATCATTCTTTGTCAAATTTGTGAACTATGACACACGGAAAAAAGAGGGGGGGGGGTGGGGTCGTGACGTAAAAATTATTGCTTGTCCCCAATGAGCTATTAAGTTTAACGCAAGTAGAACGTTTTTATAGGCATTTGCTGATAGTGACAATGTTTGTTTGATATGCTGAAATAAGAAAAATAAGAATATTTGTACTCTGGGGTAGGATGAATTTCTAGGAGATCTTGTCTATGATAATATTGTTAGAGTGGGTACCCGGGTGTTAGCCTGGCGGTCACAGCAATGTCAGTTCTACATTCCTGCAAATACTGTATTAAACAAACATTTAAAGAGATTCAATAGCATTAAGTTTTGAAATAAAGTTAACTTTATAACTTTAAAAAAAAAAATTGTTATTAGAAATTATGTTGTCAATTACCATTTCAAATTTTCAAAATAAAAGGGAAACACACTGATGTAAATATTTAATATGTTGTTAAAAAGGTTTTAACAATTTAAAATAAAAACATACTCATTGACATAAAGGTAAAAATGCTTAAAATTTGTTTTTCTTAATATACTTTTAAAAATAGAGTAAAAATATAAATTAAAATCCCTTCAAAATAAATTAATCGATTGCGTCCCTTTATAATAATTAGTTATCAATTTAAAAAAAAAAAATGAATGCCCACCCCAAATCTCCATGGTAGGTTGGCAAAGGCGTATCCGGAAATTTGATCGAAAGAAATTTCGTCGACGGTGATTTAATCGAACGGAAATTTGGTCGAATCAATTTTTCAGTTTTTACGTTAAAATCTTGCTTCAAATTTCTTTTTGAACGCATTACTCTGTTTTACTAAATAGTATAGTGCGTTCAAAAAGAAATTTGACGAAAATTTTGACGTGTGGACTGAAAAAAAGATTCGACCAAATTTCCGTTTGAACAAATTACCGTCGATCAATTTACCGTCGACGAAATTTCTTTCGATCAAATTTCCGGTAACCTGGCAAAGGGGATGACTTCCGGGGTGACACCTTGGGGGGGGTGGGGGGGGTGGTGAATTGTTTCTCGTTGTTTTAATTTTCTTTTTAAATAGTAGAGCTTAATTTTACGCATTTTTTTTTTTTAAATTGCAACCTCCCTTTATAAAAATGCTACCTTATCATTTTGCCCCCTCTGTTGGTCTATTGTTGAAATACCAGCTTAAAATCAGAAGAATTTGTATCTGTTTTACACTCACACTTGAATCAAATAATCAAGAAATATAAAAATAGCCCAGAACACCCAATAGCATCATAAGCTTGGAAAGACTTTGAAAGGGGGTGATAATGCTTGAAAAAAATAAAAAAAAATAAAAATAATTTTTCAAAAATATATTAAAATAAAACTGCTTCAGAAAGCAAAAAATGAAATAAAATAATAATAATAAATAAGAGAAATATTTTTTTCCCTGGAGCTTTCTTTATTTAAAAAAAAGGTAGCAAGAGCATGGAACTGTTCATAGTGTCATTTGATCATTTGTGCAGTGGCATCAGAGGCGTAGCGTGGTGGGGGCAGGGGGGACGGATGTCCCCGGGCGCCAGCTAGTTAGGGGCGCCAAAATGTGCTTTGATATTATTTTATTGATGAAAATAATGGCTTTGAGAGTTGAAAAAAAGAAAAAGGGGCGC